GTGAGACTCCGCGGACCTTCGCGCCAGACTGCACGTGACGACGGCTATGAGGAACATCGACGTAACCAGAGCGGCCCAAACCGGCAGAGAGAAAATGCGAGAAATAGCCTCGAGGCGAGAGAAGGGTTTCGCGCATGGTACGTACCACTGGTACTTGCTTTCGTAATATGCAAACGAAGGGTCTGCCAGATCTGCGGCGTCCTTGAACAGTGGAATTGCCCCGAAAGCTACTTCTGCCCTTCCAAGAAGCACGTCTTCCATGGCCGTTCTGATCACAACTTCCAGATCGACGTAAATCTCCCAGTATTTAGACTCGATTTCAATAGTAAAGTTCAAGCCTTTTAGAAATTCTGGTAAATATCTAGCTTCGAATGTTTTGTAATATGGAGTGACAGCTTTTATTGGACAACCCTTGAAGTTCTTGGGAATTTTGTTTGGGAACAAAAGTTCGCTGCTGAGGAATTCACCTCCTTTTTCCCACGTCCACTGATTCAGAAGCTCAACATCTTCGACGTCCGCGCACAGTTTGTCCGACTGATAAGGAAACCACGTGTAAAAATGAAAGTCTGTTTCGAACTGTACCAATACTACCATGTTCAGGGCCCTCATTTCGTCCCACGCTTCCCTCATGACGGACAGCGCTTCCTGGCGAGGGCTGTCCACAGGCAAAGTCACCACGATCAGAAACCGAGCTTCGTTATTCCACGACGCACTCGCCACGAGATGATCAGCCTGTTCTCCAATGTCACCGGCGCTGTTTGACAGGATGACGTAGTGTCCTGTCTTCTCGTAGTATCGTCCGAGGTCCTCTGCTAACGAGGAACCTGGACGTTTTACTTCGACAGGCCGAACTGAGCGCGCGATGTGATGGACCAGTAAGCCCAAGAGATCGTCTTCGTTTCTCGAGGCAGAAACGACGAGGGTCCGGTCTGAGACGAAGTGTTGGCGCACGACCGCGGTCACGCAGGACACCAGACGAGTCGACGGCGCCGTCGAGATGTCCCTGCGGAGGGCGTGCAGTAGCCCGAGCCATGCCAGGAGTAACACGGCCTTCATTTCACCTGCAGTACCAAGCAAATTTCTTAAGCATCGAGAGAGCTAATTCTCACAGCGAACACCGAAAGCGGCTGATGGACCGAAAATGACTTATCTTCTGGAATGCTGCGCCCCGCACAGTATCCGGGACAGATCCGTGCGTTTCGCCTGCGTCACTAACTTACGGGCGGAAGGAAGACAAACACGTGTCCTACGTGGACCGAAGACATCAGCGCGACCGAGACCGCGGGCTTCAAAGTTCTGCCCCTCCGATCAACTTGCCTTTTACCAAAAACGACACGACGAAGGATTGCATTTAGAATATTACATTTAAATTTATATCGATTATACACCTG